TGGACAATGATTCACAATTATTTATGAGCAGGAAAAACATCAGTCAGTGTTGTAATAATCACCTGTTTTTGTGCCTCCAGTACGATGAGCACTTGACCCAGTTGGAGAAGGACATATCTACTGCTAAGGAGGCAGCTCTAGATGCTGCAGACTTGGAGTGTCTAGACCCAATGACGCCTGGACCATACACACCGCAGGTAGGAGAGCAGCCAGGGCCCAGTTTTTACTTCCTAGCTTGGCAAATGGTGGTTTCCTGGGTATCTTGCTGTATTGACAATAGACTTGAGCCCTCCAGCTGTTTGTAAAACGCTTCACCAGTCTACAGACTTTCCTACTTGCAGCAGTGTCCTTGCCACAACTTGTAGTGCTCCTGACCCTTGTATTTCTTCGCTTGTTCTCTGCACTAACTCTCCTTTTCCAGACTTTCACGTTTCACTTCTACAGTCTAGTTTCCTCACTGTAGTGTCTCCTTTTTCCCACCCTGTTTTCTCCTCCGCTCTCGCCGTCTTGTCCTGTCTCTCCATTTGTGTGTGTGTGTGTGCCGCTCTGTATGGTGTTGGCCAGCCTGCTGATCTGTTTGACAGCGGGGCTTCAGGGAGTCTGCCCAGGGAGACCGGCAGCCTTTTCTCTGAGGGACCTCTAGTGGTTGCTCCAGAGAAGAGAGGGGGGCAGGTATGGAGAGAGACAGAGATAAGGCTTGCGACCACATGCCACCCATCCTAAAACTTCAGAGCACCCAGCTTAATTATAGGCTTACGTTAAAGTTGTTTCTCACACTAGAGCATTACAGATAACATAATAGTCTAAACTGAGAGTATTTATTTGGTTTCTCGCTCCTGTCTTTCAGGAAGAGTGTTCTCAAACTTTTATCAATTATATTATCATATTCAGGGTCGCCACCTCAGAAGACCAGGGGAGGAGGAGTCAGATGTGGACATTGAGGGCTTTGAGGATGAAGATGATGGCAAACCCAAGACTCCTGCTCCTGTAAGAAAGACAGATTTATTGAAAGGTTATGTTAGTTGCAATAAGGCCAGAACTGCTGTACATTTATAGGTACATATATACTATAACATTCTCTAGTTCTCATAGCTGTTGGTGGCTTAATTCAGTTGCAATTTGGGATTTAGTTTTTTTTAATTATCAAATTAATGTATGTAACTGTCAATTGTTAGGTGATACAATTGGATAAGCAATTTCTCTCCACACCTTCATCAATTTCTATTTGTGTCAGGAGCCCAAAAAACCCTCTTTTTAATTTCCATTTTTTTATTTGCTTACACTTTTCAACTTGCTTCCTTCTAAGACACTTATTTATGACTGATTTATCTGTCCTGTCTTTTTAGGCAGAGGACGCAGATGGAGATCTAGAGGACGAAGATGATGAAGAGGAGCTGTTGCTGCCACTTCGCAGACGGTTGCATGACCAGGAGGAAGACGAGGAGGAGGAAGAAGAGGACGGAAGATCTAACCGCCCAGCCCAGGCCAGCGTACTGTACCAGGACCTGCTCATGTCTGACGGAGAGGATGATGCCAGCGAAGAGGAGGGCGACAACCCTTTCTCCTGTAAGTCCACCTGCAGCAATATAAACAGAAACATTGAGGCTAAAACATGATAAAAATAATGCATGAATGTAGAATATAATATGACAACATATAATATTATTGTACGTTATATGTCTCCTCCAGCCATACACCTGTCGGAGAGTGGTAGCGACTCTGAAAGAGAGGTGGATGTTCGACCTGCACCTCCACGGAGAGCTCAGGAGACGGCACGCATGGGCATGGAGCAGGATGAGAGCATGATGTCATATGAGGGGCATGATGAGCCTCACATGGAAGACAGCAATGTCAGGTACAACTGGCCCAATAATACTCAAATCAATTACAGTAATCAACAATCATGCAGTTTAAGTCTTTGAAACATCATCAAGTTTACAAGCAACTTTTTCCACAGGGAGCATAAGCACTTTGATTTCTTTTTTTATCTACTAAAAACAAACAATGTGTTTTCCAACCAACCACTGTCAAAAATCACAGGAAAAAAAACAACTGCAGATGGCCCATATTTTCGTCCAATCCCCCAACCCTAATACTTGCTGCCTCCAAGAGTAGATGGTCCTTTATCCAATTATATGGACAAAAGCTATGTTATACCTGAACCACGTGGTTGATTTCCTGGTGGTATCAGAAAATACAGTTCTGATGAAAAAAATAATTCCAACCACAATCTGATTTCATGCTGCAAACAGCGCGAGTAGTTTTCGACACAATAGCGGGACACAGTAGATCAGGCATCACAAGACAAAGATGATTACTTTCCTGTATTACGCGAATGCAGTGGCCCCAAATCAATTTAAGTGTGAAACCAGTACAGTAGATACACACGGGGCTACCTTTCTGAGAAGTTGGTCACCTGCAACCCTTTATCTCACCGTGGCTTACTCCCTGAGATATTTCATATTTAAAATCTTCTTGGATCTTAAGGATTCTAACTTAAAACACTTCTTGATGTCTGTTTGACTTCGCTCTCTTTTGTTTCAGTTATGGCAGCTATGAGGAGACAGAGAGCCGGAGTCAGATGCAGCCCTCCAGCATGGGAAACGGAGAAGACTACGGTATCAGTGAGGAGGAAGAGGAAGATGAAGAAGATGAAGCGCGGAGGAGAGGCCCAGCTGTGCTCTCCCAGGTCCAGCTCAGTGAAGACGAGGAGAGCGAAGAGTTCAGATCTATAGGGGGAGACAGCGACATGGATTCTGACAACTAGTTTAATTTTTTTTATACGCAGTATCAGGAAAACATTGTTTATAATCCCAGTTTTAAAATGGAGAAAATAATAAGATTTCTCTGGGGAATGTATTATACATTGATCTTATTTTGTAAATGATTGTTTATAGCTTCCTCCTGTACCTAAAGTATTGTGTACAACACAGCACATTGTAAATTTCAGTTTGCCTTTTTATATGTTGAGCGAATATTGTGTACTATGACGTAGCTCAACATGGAAGTGTGTTCAGTTGTTTTGTACTGTTTTAACTCATTCATATTCTGCAATCACAAATAGCTCAGCAACAATGTTGTTTCTACCCCGCTGACTAATTAAAAAATAAAATAATCCGACTGAAGATTAAAAACAAATCATATTCATATGTAAAATCTAGTATCTATACGTCTATTTCTTCCTCCAGACTGGTTCAGATGTGTCCTCACAGGTCACAAACTACTAGGCTCATAGCATCTCAACAAACAAAAGATATAAAGCTAAAACATGACTGGGTTGATTTATTTTATTGACTGTGGTCAGTGGTTAAAAATCATGGCAGCCATTTTGACAGGTCACAACAGGAATATAATAATGTCAAAGACTTTAGGGCCCTGGTATTATGCATGCGGACTCTGGCTTGAAGAAATGATCATATTGATTATTCATAACAATACATTTGTTATCAAAATAGCGGGACACTTAAAATGGAATGCAGCCATTGATGTTATTAGTTACACCTGTGCTTTTATTGAAAGCTCAAACTTTAAGCTTGTGCTGATTATTTCATCACTTTATCTTACAGTAAACAGTTTGTTCTACAAGTAAACAAGTGGACGATATAATCAGTACTAATCAGCATGAAAAAGACAGTTTTGTTGATATTTCTTCTCAGTGTTTTTCTCATTTATAAGTAGTAATATGTTTTATGGAGAATATCTAGAGTTCAGTCATAAACATTATGAACAGTAGTAGGTACTTCAAAGTGTACTCATTATACAGTCTATTAAATGTCTCCAAAAATATTCTGGACTGACTAAATATTAGTATTTTTTGTGAAATGAGAGGTAACAAACATGTATCATCTGAACTTGTATGACCCACTCCGATTTCTTTACCAGTTTACCATGATAAGCATTTTCCCAATGGCTTTGTTCCTTAAACATTGAATTTGTGCTGCGTTTAAAGTGTGTCAATGGATCCCATTCAGGCACAAAAAGCAGACATCAGATCAAAGACAGACGACTTGATAGATTTGCTATGAATCAAAGAAACCACAGCAATGTAAACAGCAGCTCGAACACAATAAGAGAAATGTACCTTTATGAGAGAGGTCATGACATCTACTAGACCTATGCTTTATGTACACATCTAAAAGCATTTCCCGTTAAATAATCATCAAAGGTCATCGGATATTAAATGCTCAAACTGTGGAGTATTCAGGTAGTATATAAATTGCAATAATAATTTGTTACTGATACGTTCTTTTCACAAAAAGTTAAATAATCTTTAAAGTAACATCTATTCCTCTTTCATTTAAAATCCAGATCCTATAAGTTGAACTGCTGGACAACTTCACTGTAAAGTCCATTGTCAGTGTATGTGCAAATTATACTTTTGCAAGTTGAATTTTGGACCAGGATTGGCTTCCAAACTATGCTCGTAGACCAACCCTTTAAAATCAGACTTTCGATGAGCAGAGAGAAACTTTCCACT